AGATAGAAGAGGAATGCCTGCCTTGAGGTTTGATTATGATATAAATTTTTATTTTCTTTATTTAGTTAATAAATTGTATATTGTGTTGTTAATTCCAGTTATATGGTTTAGGGGATATAATATTTGTATTACGTGTATAGATTCAGTTATAGAATAATGCAATTCAAAAAAGCCAGACTACATTCTTTGTAGTTAGTATATCATTTTGAAGTAAACATTTTTAATTATCTGCTGAAATCGAAAATAAAAACATAGGTGTTAGATTTTTTAACAGAAGTAATAATAGTAGTTTTAGGTATTTATTTAAATTTTTATTAATTATAATTTAATGTTTCTTAGTAATAGCAACCAGATGGGAGGTGCTATGAATGCAATAGGAAGTTATAATTCTTTACATTCAGTGTTTGGTTCAGGAGACACAAACACACCACCATTATTAGACCTAAGTGAATTTCCTTCATTAACTAATAGAAATGCAAGTGATGTACCTCAACCAAGTCCAATGCCAGGTGGTAAACCATACGTAGGGATGGTTAAACAACCTACATCAGAGTCAAGTGAATTTACAATGTCATCAGAGGATTTTCCTGCCTTACCAGGTAAATAAATTTCATTAATCATTAATAGAAAATACAGAGCAATAAACGTCTTTCAACAATAGCAACACTGCCTAAATAGTTGTTACTTGTAAAGCATCTTAATCTATCATTATTGTTGAAAATTACTAAAAACTAGGATTCATGCATCCAATCTTCTCATTATTTGTTGATCTCTTTTGTAGAAAAACTTGTTGATTATTAATCTGCAAATGAAAATTTATATACAACTATTGCTTTTGAAATAATAACATAATAAAAAATAAATTCATTAAATGAATATGTTGTTGCAAGGTACACAAAGTAGGGATGGGTGCTCATCACCAAACGGTACAAACTTATCATCAGATAAAAACGGTAGTGGAGGTGGAGGTGATGGTGTAACGGACGGTGGTAATCGGACGTCGGACGGAAGTAAAGGAGCAAATTCTAAGCAAGGCATCGAAACTTATCCAGACGGCAGAGTGACGAATATTCCGGCGAGTATGGTGAACGACCAATTCGGCATCGTCGGTTTGCTGACTTTCATTCGAGCAGCAGAAACCGATCCCAATTTAGTATCACTGGCGTTAGGACAGGACCTCACGGCGCTCGGACTGAATCTCAATTCACCCGACAATTTGTATCCCACGTTTGGTGGACCGTGGGCGGAGCATCCGTGCCGTCCCCAAGATATAGACTTTCACGTTCCTCCTGAATATCTCGTTAATAGTGCGATAAGGTAAATTATCCTATTTTTGTTTATGCATTAATCAAATGGTTAAAATAAATTCTCCTATTGTTTGGTAAAGGTTTCCCGGCCTATGTTTGACAGTGAAATATTTGCAATTTGGGTTTCTGACTATGACTTGGTCTGAGGCGCATGTTTAGCATCATTCTATAAATGAATGGTGTAGTGGCGATCTACACGAAAGAAACTTCTGAAGATGCTAACCATACCCTTTAAAATTGTAAGCCTTTAAGGAAACAGAAACATTTCACATGTCGATTTTTATTTATCTCCCTAAAGTTGTCGGCCAAAATTAAATTAAACTCTTTAATTTACTGCAGTAGAATAATGAAAATAAAGGCTTTCTAAAGCATAATAACATTTTTAATTTAATTTTATTAATCCTTGTTTCAGAGATAAGTTGGCAGCGTTAAAACTTAATCGTTACAAAGATGATCTCCTATTTTTTCTATTTTACAATTATTGCGGCGATGTTCTTCAGATTGCTGCAGCAACCGAACTGTAAGTGATTTTTCAAAATTTTACTTACGTTTAGTTTAGTTCTTTTAAAGCAACAGTTTTTCCATATTTTTGTTTCTTTTTTCACAAAAAGGTACAGTAGGGAGTGGCGGTATCATACGGAAGAAAAAATGTGGATAACCCAGGTCCCTGGCATGGTGCTGATGGAGAAAACGTCTACGTATGAGAGGGGCACCTATTATTTTTTCGACGCAAATAATTGGCGAAAAGTAGCTCGTGAGTTTCATTTGGACTACAGCAAGCTGGAGGGTCGGCCCGTCATTCAGTCCGCAATGCACAATCCCACGTGAACGACCTTTTTTCCCTCCACCCCTCATACAACCGTTTTCATCACCACCAACTTACATTTTTTCTTCTTCTCCTTCTTCATACAGTTGCCCACATTTGCTTTTTTCTTCCCAGAAGAACCACATCGTTGTGATTGCAGTTTTAATTTTATTTTCTTTCATTTGTCGGTCATCTTTATATTAGAACATTTATTTATTAATAAACCCTCGCATTCGATAAAAGACCTACTAGTGTTAATTGACCTAAAGAAGCAGCTAGAAAAGAGGGAGAAGAAAAACCAATGACAACCACACAACAGTAATAGTTTAAAAATGGACTCTGATGGCTTTTTAAAGGTTTCTGGAGCTCAGTTGAGTGGAATAAAAATAAAATTGTTAGTGACGCATAAGTCAATTATAATCAACAAAGAAAAATCAGAAATAAGTGATAATCATTTACTTTTCTGTGTTCATTGTTATGAGTGATTTTTTTTTGAATTATATATATTTCGTTTTGATTTTATAGTGAATTACTGTAATTCTGTTATTAAAATAACTATATCAACTGGTCTGCAGGAATGACGTGAGTTAAAAAGTTAACATCTGGAATAAGTATTACAGTTAATATTTGATGAAATTCTTGAACACAAATACATACAGGACATACACAACACACATATACTGTCATTTTATTTGTAAATTACTTGTACATTAATAAACATTGTCGATGAGTTTATTTCATCTTTTTTTTTTGTTTAGAATGAAAATGGTGTTAAAATAATTTATCTTCTAGTCGATTTTAAGACGTATATTATTTTGAAAGCTACATACAGCACAACTATTAAAAGTTCATAAAAAACATACAACGAATTAATTAAAAGTTTACAATTAAAATTGCGAAAATTAAAAAATCATTGAGGCGTATTTAATGCATAAAACACATCGTCGGAGCTAACATTTAAAATTATTTTTTTGTGAATGTTAGTAGATTTGTTGTCGACCAACAGTAAACGACTAGAGCTCAAACGCACTACTGCAGACAAAGCAACAGTTATAGGAACAATACGAAAGCCTTCAATGACTGCAATTGATTTGAACATTTTAAAAACATTATCAAATTTCGTTTCTTCAACACCTGTACGCTCAACCTAAAAAAAAATATAATTGACAAACGTGTATATCTACATATAGGGATGGTGTTAGGTTGCATTTATAAATAAGTTATGAGTTACAATCTATGAATTTTCGATTACAAAATCATTTATATGATACATAAATATAATGATTAGCCCCTTCACAAATAGATTTTAAACATAGCTACTAACAGTTATTTTACATAAGTTTTAAGAAGCTGATGTTACTTAATTTTTAGATACCATAAGCCTTTCTATTACCTTTATGAGGTAAAGATAAGCTGACTATGAGCTTTTATTTGATCGTGAGAAATCTCAAAACAACATTTTTTAATTCAGTGCTTTTTAATTGCCTAATTCAAAATTTTAAAATGATCACATAAAATGCAGTTAAAAAATTGTTTATTGTGGTAGTGTTTTTCAGCATTCTTTTTTAGTTACTATATCGTCCTTTAAATAACTAAAAATTTAGCTAAAAAGGCTCACCTTTATATCAATTAACTATTTAATAATATTAAAGGGCGTCTCAAATCATTCTGTGCCTTACCTCAGCTACAACCGATTGTAATAGAATTTTTTCCAATTGAGAACAATGTGAAATAGCTTGGATTTTGGGTTGCGTAATCATCGCGTTTAGGGCTGCTGTAACGTGTCTCATACCGACTAAAGTCTCCGGCCCTTCTTGTTGAGCAATTTCAACTGCCCTTCTACATATATCTAATGCTCTTCTGGCATCACCTGACACAGAAGCTACTTTTCTACAGAAAATTTACAATAAACAGTTAATTTAATTTTTTTTAACAGATAAGAAGATTTACCTGGCAACCAATTGTACAGCATCTGGGTTAAAAATATTTGTACCTAAAAGTCTTTTAGTTATAATTTCTTGCAATTGCTTGAAATTGTAGGGTTGAAAAGTTAGTCTTGTTAAACCTAATCTGCTTGTTACTCTGCTCATAAGAAGCCTAAACAAGAGAAAGTGGAGTTATAAGTAAATATTTTTTCTTTCACAAAAACTGATATAATTTCACCTTTCAGGTAAATCCATTGTATTGGCAATTGTAATTACAATTAGTTGAGCATGAGACTTAGTTGGCCAATCCAACAAATTATATACTACATCTTGTCTTTTGGTACATAAAATATCCAACTAAAAAATATTTTGAGAATGATAATTGCTAATAGAAGATATATATTTCCTATTTACTTCATCAACTACTAATATAGTAGGTTTCATTTTCTTGGAGCTTCTTGAAAATTTATTTTCTAGTGTAGTTTGTGCTTGTTCCCATCTCATACTTTTCCCATCAAGTTGTTTCAGTATCTAAAATATAAACATCTATATTCCAAAGCAGTAATTATGAAAAGGAGATTGTGTACAGTAAAATAACAAAGAGGAATTTTGTTTATCAAGTATAAGATCTTACTTCTACATATGCCTGTCTTGGTTCACTAAGTTTCATTCCATTGATGCTCACATATGAAAAAGTAGGAGAACTTCCNTCGTAAATTTCGCAGTCAACTTTCTGATTATAAAACGTTAGGTCACGCAAATCCTGACTCCCACTTCCTTCCGTATAATAGGTTCGTAATACCAGGTTGCCCCCCCCCCCCTCTGCCCTAAAATTGATGCAAATGATGTATCTTAGTGTTATGGAAATAAAAACTATCAACTATCACTAAAGGAACTGGCTTCATAATATAAAATACTTAGAAATCTATGAAACCTTTAAAAATACTTTTTTCTTAAGTTAATACTTTTTCTACTATTCTATGTTAATACTGTAAGTCTATTATTAATTGCAATATGTAAAGGTGCACGATAAAGAAGATCAAAGATTGTTTCATAAATTATTAAAATTTTGTATGCAAAAGTTATATTGTATATACGCGTAAAATATATTTACTGTCTTTGAAATATTCTAAAATGAATACCCGCACGTTGTTTGTAATCAATGATTTTACCTAAAGCATCCTTGTGTTTTAGTTTAGTTTTTATATATATATAAACTCATGCTCCTTTCATATCGTATCACTCACAATCATATATTTATACAAGATACTTTTGAAATACTGGTCTGTAAGAACGCAGAATTTTTTCGGTTCAAAATTTCACGAAAATACATTATCCTGTGGCGTGTGTTGTAGTTACGAACGCGTGAACCGTGTAGCCAGTCATTCCGCATTCTTTTACGAATGTAGAATTCCTAAAAATTTAATTTAATTGAGCTGCAGTAAAAAAAAATAAAAATACTGCGAGATGACGATACCAATAGCTTCTGCTGGACATTTGCCTTCTGGTACCAATGTGGAACTGGCAAGGTTCACGTCTTCGTCTTTTAGATATCCGTCCAAAGCGATTCCACGGCGATCTTTGTTGCTGGACGCTAAAGGCACCAGGTAAAATACTTTGGTGAAGTTGGCACCTGGCGTAATAGGACACCCTTCGCGCGTCTCCATACTTGCGACGTATTTGGAAAATTGGTTGTTGACCATAGTTATTTCGCAGTGTTGAACAACGAATACTTTGATATTTTTGACGGATTTTCTTGAGTTGTTGCTTATCATAACTGTGGCCGCTACTTTTTCGCCGTGGTAGTAGATGTCCTTGTCTAGGGTTACCTCCAGGTTGATTTTTCCGCTAGAAAAGGTGAACCCTTTAGACACGAGGGAGCTCGGAAGTCTGCGGTTTCTGGATGGAGGAGCATATTGCAATTTCTTGATTGCCAAGGTAACTGTGCTCCTCTTATGACCCCTGTCGTCGGTATGCTCACCAACGTAAATCTTCAAGGTGTATTCGACACCAAGAGGTTTGCCTTGGTCATCTTCACCCGGCTGGAGAGTAACTGAAGAGGGCGACATTTCGGGGAATTTGAAGGTGAACGGAAAAGCATTTGGGCCGAACTTCTTCACTAGTTTTTCTTGAATTTGGGTGAGCTTTTCCTTTTCATCGCTGCCAGGTAAGGGTGCTATCTGTCCGCTGGCAACTACCATTTCTTTACTGAACTTGACCCCCATGACCTCATCTTCTTCCCGACCATATCGGTAGGTCGTGATGACCTGACCGAATACCCTACGCCCATTGAGGTAGTCTTTTTCGACAACGACGACTCCATCGATAGGTTCAGTAAAATCTAAGTGATCTAGAAAGTCTCGTTTACCAAGGTAGACGGTAAGCTTACCATTGGGTGTTGTCTTTTTGAATACTTTGACAGCAACCACCATTAGAATAGGCTGAGGTTTGGAGATTTACTCGGTGAACACACAAAAACTATGTTTTGCTTAGGTTACGTTCGGAACTCGAACTGATGGTTAGGCATTGCAGGACGTCGCATTTATAAAGGGCTTTAACAAGATTTCTGTTTATGCCATTAAACGAATTATAGTAAACGGATTATTGCGCAAAATGTCATGTCTTAAATTACCTTTTTTACGTAAGCAAATTTGTCTTTTATGGTTCATTTGCCATGGCAAAAAATGTCATGTGTTTACGATTGAAGAAATTATGTACACTCGAACCAATAGTATATTTACTTTTGTTTACTTTGTTTTAATTAATCGGATTTAAAAATTAAGAAAATAAAATAAATTTATCGCCACAATGACATAGTCGAATACCTACCTACATGACAATTAGTTTATTTTTATGATTTTTAAGTGCCCTACAGAGCACGATTCGAAATTTTAAATATGTTGTATTGGTTTTCGTTGATTTTAATGAGCTTAACATTACCTTTTCTTTTACAGTGTCAAGGTTCCTTAGTCGTACTTGATGATGTTATGGATAATTCAGAAACTCGTAGAGGAGTGCCGTGCTGGTATAGAAACCCCAACATTGGTTTGAGTGCAATCAATGACGGTCTTCTCATTAGAAGTGGAATATATTCTGTTTTGCGTAAATATTTTGCGACGCATCCAAGTTACGTATACTTGATGGAATTGTTCAACGATACCTTCTTAAAGACGGAAATGGGACAAGCATTAGATACCATGTCTCAGCATGATGGTAAACCCAATTTAGACGCATTTACCATGAAGAGATACAATGCTATAGTGAAATACAAGACTGCCTATTATTCATTCCACTTACCTGTTGGTCTAGCCATGTATTTAGCAGGAATGTACGATCCTGAACAGCATAGACAAGCCAAGACCATTCTTCTTGAAATGGGACATTTCTTCCAGGTTCAGGTAAGAAATATAAAAAATTGTACTATAAATTACATAACGCAAAATTCGTAAATTTCGCAGTCAACTTTCTGATTATAAAACGTTAGGTCACGCAAATCCTGACTCCCACTTCCTTCCGTATAATAGGTTCGTGTTACTTTTCC